ATATAGATTCAAACAGATAAAAAACGCGCCAAAAATATTTGTGACGTCAGAAGAGATGAAAGAATGAATGTTCCTGGGGTAATATCGTTGCAAGCACCACGAGTTCTGAAATGTATTCAAATTGTGAATCATTCGCTTCAGATGACACGTATTTCCTGAAACACATCTAGAGGCGTCATAGCAGGTGATCTAGTAGGCTTTTCTAAAGGATTAAGTTTCGGCAAGACGAACTGGTTTGAAACCAGTGGATGAGTGACGTGGTCCCTTAGAATGATCCGCTGCATTACTTGATACAACGCAGCTTAAAATTTACGTTACACAACCGTAATCAACTGCAGAGCTAATGGTTAAAATAGGAGGTGCTTTTAAAGAAATTACCTCCAGTAACATTTCATAATGAATCATTAAACAAACTTCTTTATTGCCAGGAAGTGAATGTACAAATTTGAACATAAACTGGAATGAACTGAAGTGAATTTGGGATACCTTTTTTCTTGAAACCATGATGTTTATCGTTTGTACGTAGATCCGTTAATCTAATATATAACTGCTGATTTCTCAGGTACGACTTTTATCGAAAAGTACTCAAAATGATACGTAGATGTTATCCAGTAAGTATACTAATTGTTCAAAGAAAGAAAGACCATGTATGTTTGTATTGATAAATGTTTTATTGTAATTTGTGGGAGACATGCAGGTAGCCTATTGTTTATGTTTTGTGTTCCATGGTTCTGAAGTTTACCTCCCATGCTCAAATGAGTTTGAATATCACTTTTGCAAAACGAATCTCCATATGAAGATTCGGAACAACCCATGTCGAAAATTTGCTTCATCTCTTCATTTCATACAAGAATAACTAAACCAGAAAGATTCAATCTGAAAGCTTTATCTCCGTTATCTCTAATAACAGCCTATTACAGCCTCCATTTTTTGTCATTGCTATTATTAGATTCGATGCAGCGTGGTGAACGTTGCGGATTCATTTGTCAAGCTCGGGATGACATTGCAATCGGTTCTATGTAACAAAACAATAAACGGCATTCCTCGTGTACAGTTACCCGTGAAATCATTGCTTATACTTATTTATTAATTACCTTCTTGAAACTCATCCGCCGACAGAACGATACTGGATATTTTCATAGAAGCGAAAGCTGTTGAATCTAAGATATTCGACTAGGGTTTATGATGTTGATAATGTAGAGTTGATTCACTATTAATAACTTAATCAAAACTATTTTGTCATGGCACTAAAAAATGTACGCTGTCAAAACAACTGGGGTATTGCATGCGACCGTTGCCACATGGCCTTTAGTAAATACCGCAGTTGTAGACGATACAGCTACCTCCGGTCGTGATAATTGACATTCTTCGATCTCAGCTATATTCTATTGATTTTAATTTGCAAAAATATCATAAATTATGTCACTGTTAAGAAATATATTTCATTTAGTAAAGTATATACATAAAGTGTATTTTTATGTAAAGAACAGTATGTAGCTGTGATTAATACCGGGTGGCAATGAAAACATGGTACACTACGCCATTCAGTTGTTTCTGTGGTGAAAATTCGAAACGATGATATAGTTTTTTAAAGCTTTGGATTTCTGATAAATATCAATTGAAAATCTATCTCGGTTTATTCAAGTAACACTTTTTTCTGAAATTTTCACTGAATAGTTTACAAAACCGCAACACGTGTTTCGCTATTCAATAACTCCCTCAAACGTTTTCATAACGACTAAATTATACTTGATTCGTGTAACTTTTACCTACGTAATGAGTAATATTCCTACCCGAGTTCTGATAAACATTAATTAAGAAATCTTCAAACATCATGAAAGAAGATTTTTCCAAGTCCACACATGCTCATTCACTTACGATGTTTGAATTTTTCTATAAGTTTTTACCTAAACTCAGATTAAATTGTTTGTCATTGAGTACGCAGAACATCATTCATTGTTATTATGTATAACACAAATGGTACCTAATTAGTTTATCCCATGTCCATTTAATGACTTGGTAAAATTCATAGTATCGCCATGCTCACTCGTCATTACTTATTCATAATTTTTTGGTCAAAAGCAACACCGTAATCATGTCTCAGCCACCTTATTTACCAGATTTGTCCCCATGTGACTTTTTGCTGTTCCCAAGATTAAAGAGACCCATGAAAGGAAAGCGTTTTGCGACGACTGAGAAGATGAAAACCGAATCGCTGATAGCTCAAGAACATACCAAAAAGTGCATATCAGAACTGGTTCGAGGATTGTAAAAAAAACGCTAGCACAAGTGTATTATATCTGAGAGTGGCTACTTTGAAGGGGACAAAATGGAAATTGATGAAAAAATAAATATCTTTTGAGAAAAATCAAAATTCAGCTTATTTTTTGAACAGACAGTATATAATTATTGATTTGTTTTTACAATCACGATATTATTATTCATTTGCAAATAGCCATCTGTATAAGGCTTCTGTTCTATAGAGATTTCATCATTTATTCACATCATTTTTGTGTACACATTTGTTAATGTTTCGTTTTAATGTTGCGAGTATGCGAATAATAGAGTATAATTTTTTTTAAAGTTTTGTCCTTAATAAACAATAACTTTCGAAAAAATCAGTATTGTTAATATATTAATGCATTGAAAGGTAGTGAAAGAAAAGCAGATAATCTGAACCAGTCACAGATCGGGTGTGTGAGATGTAGCAAAAGTTTTTTTTTTTTAACTGAAGATAGAAAAATGAATACCACAGTTGGCAGGAAATGTAAATGAAAGATACATTTGTAGGTCTTCCTCCATAATTTGTCAAAGTATAATTTCGTCTTGAACGAGGTTCATTCGGTACTTTCCATTTTCGCGTGTACCTCGTTTTTACAAAAGACTCTTGCAACTGTTTTCCTGTTGATTATTTCCATGCCTACCTGCTTAGTGCAGTGAACTAATGCGATTTTAATGTCAATTTCTAGGACTCGACGCTTTACCGTAAAACTAGTAAATATCATTTCCACTTTTTGTTTCTCATTCGTTTCGAATCGCCTTGAAAGTAACTAACGGCATAGACAAAGAAACGTTAGGAACTACTATGCGTTATTAGGAATTTTAATAAAAATTCATATCTGTGTACTTGTCGGTGCTTGTGAGAGATTAAATCGCACGATTTCCTGAGAGAGCGGCAATACAGGATGTAACATGGAAGGTCGTTTGCATATTATGTTGCGATGGTGTGGGTGAGGTGTTTTGATCTATTCCGATATTCGGCGAGTATAAAAAAATAAGAAAGTATTTTATTATTCCATTCTTGCCTTTCTACTTCTCCACTTTTAAATAAAAAACGTGGGAAATTTCCGAAGGAACTAAAGAAGCAATAACTTCGAAATAAAAGGCTTTAAAAGATATGTAAATCACAGATGTTTTCGAAAAAATTACAATCAAATACAAACTAGAAAAAATTAGTTGTTATTTATTCAGTCAGTTTTGCCAAATCACCATAGACGGAAATAGCATTCAACAACACGTGCAAATAATGAAATTGTTTTACGCTTCGCACTACTCGCAATGTGGTGGATACATTTAAGTCCACTGGTTCAGTAAACGATCGACCAACACACTTACGTCGACGAAATGCAAAATCGGCCGAAAACATCGCCGATGTCTGTGAGAGTGTGCGAGATAATACGAGGCAGTCGATTTCGCGTCGTTCACAAGAACTCTTCCTTTCCCAAACCACAACTTGGTCGTGACTTGGGCCTGCACCTGTACAAAATTCAACTGACCCAGGAACTGAAGGTAAATGGCAATAGTCAACGTGAATGGGCTCTGGAGCAGTTGGAAACTGGCCCTGAATCATCTTCAGCGAACAAACCCATTTCTGTATGAATGGGAACGTCAACCAATAAAATTTTTGAATTTGGGACAATACCAATCCTCATGAGAATCAAGACGGTCCAATGCATTCCAAAAAAGTCACTGTTTGGCGTGGATTTTGGGCGGACTGCGTCATCGGTCCATATTTCTTTGAGAACGACGTTGGCCAGTCCTTCACTGTTAATGGCGAGCACTATAGGTCGATGATTATCAACTATATTTGCCCTGAATTGCATAATCTGAACACCAACGAAATGTCGTGTCAACAAGACGGCGCTACGTGCCACACAGCCACATTGGATATCCTGCACGAGCGATTTGAGGGCATGGACATCTAATAATGATAATAATAAATGCTCTCTCGCGGCGCCCGAGACCCTAATGCACTTGCTATCAGCATGTCCAGCATATGCGGTCTCAGCATATATCCATCGACATAACGCGGCCTTAAGAGTTCTATATTACCATCTACGGCACTCTTACAGTATTGACGAGACACTGGTGTTGCCCTACACTCCGGGGGATATTGAATCCATTGTGGGGAACGAGAAGTGCCGAATTTATTGGAACTATTCGTTCCCCACCCTCAGGCTCATACAAGCTAATAAGCCTGATGTAGTTCTTCTCGATCACCAGAGCAAACGATATTTGTCGTGGAGTTTTCTGCTCCTGGCGTTACGAATATCGTCAGGAAAGAGGAGGAAACACGGATAAAATATCGAGATTTTCTCTTCGAACTCCGCAGACTCTATCCAGATCACTCTGTCAAGATGGTTGTTCTGATCATTGGAGTCCTTGGTGGAATGATGTCCTCTCTAAGGCAGAAATCTTAGCCGCACAGATGCAGAAGGCTGTCATTCTTGGCTCACTGCGCTTGCTCAAAAGGAATGTACTTTAAAAATTGACACTTTTGAACATAACATGGAATTGAAATATTCTGCTTTTGTTTATATCTCTACTCTAGTACGATACTCTTTGAAAACAAAAAGAAAAAACTATCTTCGCCTGGGAAGTATTTACCTTTCGTCGCCGAGAGTGTCATGTACTGATTCTTGAACAATTATTTGTACGCGGTCCGTACCACCATTCTTTTGTCGTACCGTAGTCTCACATTCAACACCTGAGGTCACGGATGTCACCGTAAGACAATACTCAGTGCCATTGTTTATGGCCTTACAAAAAAATAGAAGAAACAAAAGGTGAGATTGCTTAGTTTCTTCACGCTGTGAGGTATCTCGAATCCGACTGATGTGAAATGCCGACGATTGAAAGAGTAATGATTCGCAGTAAGTCTTTCCACACAGAAAAATTTTTCGTCTTTATGCAGTTATCGAAAAAAATTGTGTTTTATTTTGTAGCTATTTCGAAAGCAACCGTGAAAAATTAAAAAACAAAAGTTGGTTACACCTATAATAAACATACACTTGTACAATTAAAAGGCAATGACTTCACTTACTCTCTTCTAGTTGCTTGTTAACTCTGTCTGAAGTAAACTGATTCCAATTTCCGACGAATTCGCTCTTATTTAGGCAGTTCTATGCAGCTACATTCACCGCAATTACCATTATTCCTTTAGAATTCACCATTTCTTCAGGATCTTCTAGAGTCACATGTCGTTACTCTTTCGTTGATGTACAGGACCATACTTGTCCTATTTGAAATTTTACATTTAGGACCTTGCAAAAAATGATCAACGAAGAAATCGATTGAGATTTTTGTCTAGAGAATCCAAATGGAAAAAAATTGAATATAAAATAAAATTGAATTGCAGTTTACGGAGGATGTGATTAGAGTTGAATAGTATGGTGACTACCAGTGTCAAGTTGATATAAATACTGCAATCAATTCGGTTTTTCATTGAAATTATTTGTACTGAAATTGGATAAGCACACAGGGCCGT